TAACCACCTGTACCAGACCACACACCTTGGTACCACTTGTACCAGACAACACACCCTGGTACCACCTGTACCAGACCACACACCCTGGTACCACTTGTACCAGACCACACATAATAGTACAACCTGTACCAGACCATACAGCCTGGTACCACTTGTACCAGACCACACACCCTGATACCACCTGTACCAAACCACACACCCTGGTACCACCTGCACCAGACCACACACCCTGGTACCACTTGTACCAGACCACACACCCTGGTATCACCTGTACCAGACCACACACCTTGGTACCACTTGTACCAGACCACACATCCTGGTACCACTTGTATCAGACCACACACCCTGGTACCACCTGTACCAGACCACACATCCTGATACCACTTGTACCAGACCACACACCCTAGTACCACCTGTACCAGACCACATATCCTGGTACCACCTGTACCAGACCACACACCCTGGTACCACTTGTACCAGACCACACACCCTAGTACCACCTGTACCAGACCACACACCCTTTTACCACTTGTACCAGACCACACATCCTAGTACCCTGTACGGAGACACACACACCCTGGTACCACTTGTACCAGACCACACACCCTGGTACCACCTGTACCAGACCACACACCTTGGTACCACTTGTACCAGACAACACACCCTGGTACCACCTGCACCAGACCACACACCCTGGTACCACTTGTACCAGACCACACACCCTGGTACCACCTGTACCAGACCACACACCTTGGTACCACTTGTACCAGACAAACACACCCTGGTACCACCTGTACCAGACCACACACCCTGGTACCACTTGTACCAGACCACACACCCTAGTACCACCTGTACCAGACCACACATCCTGGTACCACTTGTATCAGACCACACACCCTGGTACCACCTGTACCAGACCACACATCCTGATACCACTTGTACCAGACCACACACCCTAGTACCACCTGTACCAGACCACATATCCTGGTACCACCTGTACCAGACCACACACCCTGGTACCACTTGTACCAGACCACACACCCTAGTACCACCTGTACCAGACCACACACCCTTTTACCACTTGTACCAGACCACACATCCTAGTACCACCTGTACGAGACCACACACCCTGGTACCACTTGTACCAGACCACACACCCTGGTACCACCTGTACCAGACCACACACCTTGGTACCACTTGTACCAGACAACACACCCTGGTACCACCTGTACCAGACCACACACCCTGGTACCACTTGTACCAGACCACACATAATAGTACAACCTGTACCAGACCATACAGTCTGGTACCACTTGTACCAGACCACACACCCTGATAACACCTGTACCAAACCACACACCCTGGTACCACCTGCACCAGACCACACACCCTGGTACCACTTGTACCAGACCACACACCCTGGTATCACCTGTACGAGACCACACACCCTGGTACCACTTGTACCAGACCACATACCCTGGTACCACCTGTACCAGACCACACACCCTGGTATCACTTGTACCGATTGTACCAGACCATACACCTTGGCACCACCTGTACCAGACCACACACCCTGGTACCACTTGTACCGGTTGTACCAGACCACACACCCTGGTACAACCTGTACCAGACCATACACCCTGGTACCACTTGTGCCGGTTGTACCAGACCACACATAATAGTACAACCTGTACCAGACCATACACCCTGGTACCACTTGTACCAGACCACACACTCTGGTACCACCTGTACCAAACCACACACCCTGGTACCACCTGTACCAGACCACATACCCTGGTACCACTTGTACCAGACCACACACCCTGGTATCACCTGTACCAGACCACACATCCTGGTACCACTTGTACCAGACAACACACCCTGGTACCACCTGTACCAGACCACACACCATGTGTAGACAGCCTGTACTGTCTGCACAGACGGCCCATGCTGTCTGCCAGCTTACTTCATATTTCGCGGCACTAAGGTGCTGCCCTCTGTAGCTAGGCCTCTCGGTGGGCACGGCAGCCTGCCTGCCCTTGCCTCGTTCTCACTCTCACAGTGGCCTAGCAGGAAGACACAAGGCCTACTAGTAGCTCTCGTGGGCTGGCCCTCCCGGGCCATGGGCACAACACACAAGCCTGTGTACCCACCACGACTTAACAATAAAGTAAGAAGTCTCCGAAGACGTATCATTTACACCCTGCTGCCAGAACACCAAATAATCCCTTTTTATAAATGGTGGAAAGCATTGGTCGCAGCAGTGTTTTTGCCCAGAGAGAGGAAGGAAGGAATGAAGTTGTTCACTTCATCCCCCTACACAACAAACATCTGTCTCTTTACGAGTTATCCTGATGTCGTGTCTGCACGTTTCAGCATCCAGACACAGGTACAAGCAGGATCCAGCCGAAATTTGCCAAATTTCTTCGAGAATTGCGAGTGGCGTCCCAGTGACCCCACGCTACAGCATCCCACGCTGTTTCTCAAGTCACATGTTCAGCGTCACTTGCATGTTGCTGTTGTTGTTCAGCTCAGTACAGCCGTTTCAGCAAGCCAGAGGTGAGTTTTGTGGCGATTTCTGCGTCCAGTGTGAGTTCTCCATGTGTTTGTGGGAGGAGGAAGTGGCCGCTCCTTGCCTCGCCCTGCTGTACTCTCACACCTCACCAGCCTACCATACACCACTCACCACTACTCGCTCCTTCTGCAGTGTTTTCTGCTTTTTTCGTGTGATTCATTGCCAGAGCTGTGTATCCGAGTGCCCGAGGCCACTCGAAGCTACGTGGATCAGCATGCCACGTAGATCACGACGCCACGTGGATCACGACGCCACGTGGGTGTGGGCGATGTCACGTGGATCTACAAACCACGTGAGTTACTGAGCCAGATGTCCAGCAGGCCTCATGCTGTGGTCTGCTGCCTGCATCACATTGACGTCACCGACGATGCTGCCCGACTTCATGACGTCACGATGTCTGCCTGACGTCACCTCGAGATGTCTGCTGACGTCACAGTGCTGCTGACGTAACCTCGCGACATCACGCCTGACATCACATGTCACATCGAGTGTTCTAGTAATTATTTCAGTATTGTCGAGAAGACTGAGAGAAGATATATGTCTGGTTAAATAATTCCTCAGTCAGTGTTCTCACATTTTAGTATATGTCTTAGTGTCAGTTTTGTGCGCAGAAAAGCACCATTTGCTAGTTTAAGCCATGTTGTACCGCATGTACCGTGGGTGTGTAAAGTTTCCGTGTGTCCAGTGAGGTCTGAGCCAGACCTGAGTAGCACCACTGTGTTAAGTCACCCGTGTGACCATGTGTTTGACAGCTATCAGACAGCCCTGAGCGTATGAGCCCCCTTGTACAGAAAGCTCTTATGCTCGTCGCTCATAGATGTTCTGCAGAATCGTACCTGCTACGATTCCCATCGAGATTTGTTTCACTTCACCTCCAGACCTTCAGAATGCAGTTATATGTAGAGAAACAAGTCTGGGGACGCTTAGACTAACCTCTGCTGTAACTCCATCTGCCGAGAGAATGACACTCGTCAAGCTGCAGTTAGCCCTGTCGGTAGGGGCTGTGTCAGCCTCGTGTCACAAGCTTCAGTGAGCAGCCTGCACAAAGAAGATGTCACTTTGACTGCTAGCTCTCTCACTGCAGTCTGGTGTATGATGTTACGACTCCCAGGTGTTTCGCCCAGTCGTCTCTGCCACGACTCGTTCCACAACTCGCTCCACGCCCGCCGGCAGTGACAGCCCAGCGACAGTACCAGTCGAGAAGTGTCCTCCTGAGTCGCTTGCCAGAAGTCCTGCCCAGTTGCCGAGTTTTGTCGACGCCTCACTCGAGGGCACCAGCATGTCGTGCCCCAGGTTGAGTGAAAACCTGCAGCGACTCCTACGATGTCTGCTTCACCGTTCCAGAGGAGACCATAACCTGTTACATCACAGCTCAGCCGCAGTGATGTCTCCTGTGTTGCAGTATCTGTCCAGACGCAGGAAGGCGTGCAGTGATGCCCTTCGACGCTCACTGCCTATGACCACGATGTTTAGTACACCCCACATGTTTTTTTCTTCCCTCCCTGTAGGAAGTTTTTTTTCGATGTCCATATGTATATATATGTTTTTATTTTGTGTTCTGTGCCCTGTTCCTTCAAGAGAGAGACGGAGTTCCTTTTACCACCAGTATTGTCGCCTCGGGACGACGCGTGGTAGGTGGCCGAGCGTATGTAGACAGCCTGTACTGTCTGCACAGACGGCCCATGCTGTCTGCCAGCTTAGTTCATATTTCGCGGCACTAAGGTGCTGCCCTCTGTAGCTAGGCCTCTCGGTGGGCACGGCAGCCTGCCTGCCCTTGCCTCGCTCTCACTCTCACAGCGGCCTAGCAGGAAGACACAAGGCCTACTAGTAGCTCTCTCTCGTGGGATGGCCCTCCCGGGCCATGGGCACAACACACAAGCCTGTGTACCCACCACGACTTAACAATAAAGTAAGAAGCCTCCGAAGACGTATCATTTACACCCCGCTACCAGAACATCAAATAATCCCTTTTTATACATGGTACCATTTGTACCGGTTGTACCAGACCATACACCTTGGTACCACCTGTAGCAGACCATACACCCTGGTACCACTTGTACCGGTTGTACCAGACCACACACCCTGGTACAACCTGTACCAGACCATACACCCTGGTACCACCCATACCAGACCACACACCCTGGTACCACTTGTATCAGACCACACACTCTTGTACCATTTGTACCAGTTGTACCATACTACACACCTTGGTACCACTTGTACCAGACCACACACCCTGGGTACCACTTGTACCAGATCACACACCCTGGGTACCACTTGTACCAGACCACTCACCCTGGGTACTTGTACCAGACCAAACACCCTGGGTACCACTTGTACCAGACCACACACCCTGGGTACCACCTGTGCAAGGTAGTCAGCATGTACTCACACTGGCGCATCAAGGTACTCAGCATGTACTCACCCTATCCTCTGCTGCTCGTTGAGTTCAAGTTGCTCGGCTCGCTTGATCACCTCGAGGATCATCTTAGTTTCTGCTTCAGTGAGTGAGTCTTGGCGAGTCATGGGTGCAGGCTGGCTAGTAGACCAACCCATCTTTAGCCTGTGACATAACAACATAACATAAGGAGAAACACCACGACAACTTTCACTGTCTAGCTGAGTAAAGACTGTATAAGACAGCTGACTGTATATGCAGGAGCTTTTTCAGAGAATTGACTGTATTTGGTTCAATGTAATGAATCAGCAGTGTGCTGCTACTTTAGATACCAGAGTTCAGGCAACTTCTGGCGCATGAAACTAGGAGGTGGGGTCAGAAGCTGTGTCTCAACCCACTTAGTAACAAGACGGTGAGTACAAGAACGTATGTAAATACAAAAACAATCATTCACACAAAACAGTCACTGGAACAGATACAATCACTGAGACAAACAAGAGAGAGAGAGGAAGAGGAAAGAGAGAGAGAGAGAGAGAGAGAGAGAGAGAGAGAGAGAAAGAAAGAGAGAGAGGGCATCAGTCACTTACTTTGCTCTCAGTGCCAGGTGACGATCGTTGGGACAGACCCAGCGCTCCTGCGCAGGCTGGCTGCCCACACTGGCTCTCCTTATCATTGTTCTTCCTGCTACTGCTGCTATCGAGCCTCCTGCTGTAGGTGTTGCTACTGATACTGCTGCTGTTGCTCCTCCACCATCTCCTCCTGCTACGCCTCCTACCCCACCAACTCCAAATCCGATACTTCCTGTTCCTAACCCCGTACCTCCACCTCCCCCTCCAGGAAATCCTGCTTGAGTCTCCATAGTTCCTTCTAACTAGCAAGGGATGTCACGCCCCATCCATACTCTCAAATATATGGTTTCTCTTTGAACTAGAAATACCGTCTTAGTTTCTCCACTCTCCTGATTATTAAAGTTCTTGACAAAATAGTGCAAAGGACATCATGTACCTTGCTTGACCATAATGACTTGGTTACTAACACGCATCTAGACCAATGATACCTACGTAGCAAGCACCAGATATGCACTGCCTTCTCTCGTCCTGCCTGAGTCCTCCATCAATTTCCTGTAAGAGACGGAGAAAGAACGTTAGTAACAGGAAGGATATAGAACAGAGATGTAAACATACAGACTGTAAGATGGAATGTGTTGGAACAGGTGTCAACAAAGAAGGATGGAATAGTGTGCTCGAGACAAGTTTGATGATAGTAAGTCAAGGTGAGGAATAGTTTTGAATGTGAGAGTGTTTGTGTGTGTACACAGTTTGTGTGTGTACACAGTTTGTGTGTGTACACAGTTTGTGTGTGTACACAGTTTGTGTGTACATAGCTCCATCACTGTCATCATCTCTGTCTTCACATACCACATATAACACCTAATTGTAATAATTTATTTATAGGTAAGTGTATTTGTGGTTGAGGGACTGACCATCAAGGTTGATGGATTGACCATCATGGTTGATGGACTGACCATCTATCGTGGTTGATGGATTGGCCATCTATCATGGTTGATGGACTGACCATCTATCATGGTTGATGGACTGACCATCTATCAAGGTTGATGGATTGACCATCTATCATGGTTGATGGACTGACCATCTATCGTGGTTGATGGACTGACCATCTATCGTGGTTGATGGATTGGCCATATATCAAGGTTGATGGATTGACCATCTATCATGGTTGATGGACTGACCATCTATCGTGGTTGATGGACTGACCATCTATCGTGGTTGATGGACTGACCATCTATCACGGTTGATGGACTGACCATCTATCATGGTTGATGGACTGACCATCTATCAAGGTTGATGGAGTGACCATCTATCTTGGTTGATGGATTGACCATCTATCATGGTTGATGGATTGACCATCTATCATGGTTGATGGATTGACCATCTATCATGGTTGATGGACTGACCATCTATCGTGGTTGATGGATTGACCATCTATCATGGTTGATGGACTGACCATCTATCATGGTTGATGGACTGACCATCGATCATGGTTGATGGACTGACAATCTATCAAGGTTGATGGACTGACCATCTATCACGGTTGATGGACTGACCATCTATCAACGTTGATGGACTGACCATCATGGTTGATGGACTGACCATCTATCATGGTTGATGGACTGACCATCTATCATGGTTGATGGACTGACCATCTATCATGGTTGATGGACTGATCATCTATCATGGTTGATGGATTGACCATCTATCATGGTTGATGGACTGATCATCTATCATGGTTGATGGATTGACCATCTATAATGATTGATGGACTGACCATCTATCATGGTTGATGAATTGACCATCTATCATGGTTGATGGACTGACCATCTATCATGGTTGATGAATTGACCATCTATCATGGTTGATGGACTGACCATCTATCATGGTTGATGGACTGACCATCTATCATGGTTGATGGACTGACCATCTATCATGGTTGATGGACTGACCATCTATCATGGTTGATGGACTGACCATCTATCATGGTTGATGGACTGACCATCTATCATGGTTGATGGACTGACCAACTATCATGGTTGAGGGACTGACCATCTATCATGGTTGATGGACTGACCATCTATCATGGTTGATGGACTGACCACCTATCATGGTTGATGGACTGACCATCATGGTTGATGGACTGACCATCTATCATGGTTGATGGACTGACCATCTATCATGGTTGATGGACTGACCATCTATCATGGTTGATGGACTGATTATCATGATTGATGGACTGACCATCTATCATGGTTGATGGACTAACCATCTATCATGGTTGGACTGACCATCTATCATGGTTGATGGACTGACCATCTATCATGGTTGATGGACTGACCATCTATCATGGTTGATGGTATGACCATCTATCATGGTTGATGGATTGACCATCTATCATGGTTGATGGACTGACCATCAATCATGGTATGACCATCTATCATGGTTGATGGATTGACGATCTATCATGGTTGATGGATTGATCATCTATCATGGTCGATGGACTGACCATCTATCATGGTTGATGGACTGACCATCTATCATGGTTGATGGACTGACCATCTATCATGGTTGAAGGACTGACCATCTATTATGGTTGATGGATTGACCATCTATCATGGTTGATGGACTGACCATCTATCATGGTTGATGGACTGACCATCTATAATGGTTGATGGACTGACCATCTATCATGGTTGATGGACTGACCATCTATCATGTTTGAGGGACTGACCATCTATCATGGTTGATGGATTGACCATCTATCATGGTTGATGGACTGACCATCTATCATGGTTGAGGGACTGACCTTCTATCATGGTTGATGGACTGACCATCTATCATGGTTGATGGACTGACCATCTATCATGGATGATGGACTGACCATCATGGTTGATGGACTGGCCATCTATCATGGTTGGTCTGACCATCTATCAAGGTTAATTGATTGACCATCTATCATGGTTGATGGACTGACCATCTATCGTGGTTGATGGATTGACCATCTATCATGGTTGATGGACTGACCATCTATCATGGTTGATGGACTGACCATCTATCAAGGTTGATGGACTGACCATCTATCACGGTTGATGGATTGACCATCTATCATGGTTGATGGACTGACCATCTATCGTGGTTGATGGATTGACCATCTATCATGGTTGATGGACTGACCATCTATCATGGTTGATGAACTGACCATCTATCAAGGTTGATGGACTGACCATCTATCATGGTTGATGGACTGACCATCTATCAAGGTTGATGGATTGACCATCTAGCATGATTGATGGACAGACCATCTATCGTGGTTGATGGATTGACCATCTATCATGGTTGATGGACTGACCATCTATCAAGGTTGATGGACTGACCATCATGGTTGATGGATTGACCATCTATCATGGTTGATGGACTCACCATCTATCGTGGTTGATGGATTGACCATCTATCATGGTTGATGGACTGACCATCTATCATGGTTGATGGACTGACCATCTACCAAGGTTGATGGACTGACCATCTATCATGGTTGATGGACTGACCAGCTATCATGGTTGATGGATTGACCATCTATCATGGTTGATGGATTGACCATCAAGGTTGATGGACTGATCATCTATTATAGTTGATGGATTGACAATCTATCATGGTTGATGGACTGACCATCTATCATGGTTGATGGATTGACCATCTATCATGGTTGATGGACTGACCATCAATCATGGTTGATGGACTGACCATCTAACTTGGTTGATGGACTGACCATCTATCATGGTTGATGGACTATCTATCATGGTTGATGGACTGACCATCTATCATGGTTGAGGGACTGACCATCTATCATGGTTGATGGACTGACCATCTATCATGGTTGATGGACTGACCATCTATCATGGTTGATGGATTGACCATCTATCATGGTTGATAGACTGACCATCTATCATGGTTGATGGACTGACCATCTATCATGGTTGATGGACTGACCATCTATCAAGGTTGAGGGACTGACCATCTATCATGGTTGATGGACTGACCATTTATCATGGTTGATGGACTGACCACCTATCATGGGTGATGGACTGACCATCATGGTTGATGGACTGACCATCTATCATGGTTGATGGACTGACCATCTATCATGGTTGATGGACTGACCATCTATCATGGTTGATGGACTGACCATCTATCATGGTTGATCGACTGACCATCTATCATGGTTGATGGACTGACCATCTACCATGGTTGATTGACTGACCATCTATCATGGTTGATTGACTGACCATCTATCATGTTTGATGGACTGACCATCTATCATGTTTGATGGACTGACCATCTATCATGGTTGATGGATTGACCATCTATCATGGTTGATGGACTGACCATCATGGTTGATGGACTGACCATCTATCATGGTTGATGGACTGACCATCTATCATGGTTGATGGACTGACCATCTATCATGGTTGATGGACTGACCATCTATCATGGTTGAGGGACTGACCATCTATCATGTTTGATAGACTGACCATCTATCATGGTTGATGGATTGACCATCTATCATGGTTGATGGACTGACCATCATGGTTGATGGACTGCCCATCTATCATGGTTGATGGACTGACCATCTATCATGGTTGATGGACTGACCATCTATCATGGTTGATGGACTGACCATCTATCACGGTTGATGGACTGACCATCTATAATGGTTGATGGTATGACCATCTATCATGGTTTATGGACTGACCATCTATCATGGTTGATGGACTGACCTATCATGGTTGATGGACTGACCATCTATCACGGTTGATGGACTGACCATCTATAATGTTTGATGGTATGACCATCTATCATGGTTGATGGACTGACCATCTATAATGGTTGATGGTATGACCATCTATCATGGTTGATGGACTGACCATCTTTCATGGTTGATGGACTGACCTATCATGGTTGATGGACTGACCATCATGGTTGATGGACTGACCATCTATCATGGTTGATGGACTGACCATCTATCATGGTTGATGGACTGACCATCTATCATGGTTGATGGACTGACCATCTATCACGGTTGATGGACTGACCATCTATAATGGTTGATGGTATGACCATCTATCATGGTTGATGGACTGACCATCTATCATGGTTGATGGACTGACCATCATGGTTGATGGACTGACCATCTATCAAGGTTGATGGACAGACCATCTATCATGGTTGATGGACTGACCATCTATCATGGTTGATGGACTGACCATCTATAATGATTGATGGTATGACCATCTATCATGGTTGATGGACTGACCATCTATCATGGTTAATGGACTGACCATCTATCATGGTTGATGGATTGACCATCTATCATGGTTGATGGACTGACCATCTATCATGGTTGATGGACTGACCATCTATCATGGTTGATGGACTGACCATCTATCACGGTTGATGGACTGACCATCTATAATGGTTGATGGTATGACCATCTATCATGGTTGATGGACTGACCATCTATCATGGTTGATGGACTGACCATCATGGTTGATGGACTGACCATCTATCAAGGTTGATGGACAGACCATCTATCATCCTTGATGGACTGACCATCTATCATGGTTGATGGACTGACCATCTATCATGGTTGATGGATTGACCATCTATCATGGTTGATGGACTGACCATCATGGTTAATGGACTGACCATCTATCATGGTTGATGGATTGA